GAGTTAATTATAAGGAGTTGGAATGGCGGAGGAGGAAGAGGAGGAGGAGGATGAGGAGGAGGAGGAGGAGCATGAGGAGGGAGCAGGAGGAGGAGGAGGAGGAGGAGGAGGAGGAGGAGGGAGGAGGAGGTGGCATGAGAAGGGAGGAGGGTGGTGGGAGGTGGCAGAAGGAGGCCGATGGCTGCGGCGGCGCCCTGTGCCGGCGCAAGGCCCGGAGGCTGCCTGCGCTGCCCCGCAGGGGTGCGGTGGGCCTGCGGCACTGGCTGGACGCGCCCCCGCCCGACTCGGCGGCCCTCGGTGGCGGCCCTCGGTGGCGGCCCTCGGCGGCGCACGGCTAGCGAACCGTGGCGGCGACGAGGGGGCGTCGGGGCGGCGGCAGAGCGAAACTCCGAAAACGCCTGCCAGCCGGCCAAGTGAGACCGCCTCAGTGCGAGAATGACGTGGTCCAGACACAGTTGATCGATGCAAGCGCAAACCACGCAAAGCACAGCACGAAGCATCGAGCGCGATCCCGTTGATACCGTTTCTTCCCCATCCTTTCCTTCCTCATCCTGTTCATCCCCTCCTGATCCTCGCCTTCCCTCTGCAACCTTTCCCTCTTTCGTCTCGTTCTCCACAACCCCCCCCTCAGTCAGAGGATCTGTAATTTCTGGAGTTCTAGCGCCAACTGGTTTCGCTCTATCCACACAAGGCCAATGCCGCGCTATGTTGAAATGCACCCATCGGCCTTAGTGCTAGCCCAATAGAAAACTACACTTGCTTTGGTAAGGTCTACACCCGCATGTGGCAGAGTAGCGGAGAAGGGCTGCCCAGCGCAGCGCAGACAATGCAGGTTGACCTCTTTCCCTCTCTTGCTGCTGTCTCCTGCTGACGCTGTTTGCCTGGCGTGACATACTGGCCTGATTCGGACGGGGCTGGGACGAGGGTAAATCCGTTCCCGAGCGTTCCGGAGCGCTCTCAGAGCGTTCGGGAACGCTCTGAGAAGGCCGCGGCGCCCGAGAAATCCTCCGAAGCCGCGGGACTCAGAGATTCCCGATTTATCCTCGCCCGAATTTTTCTTGTCTTGGCTTCATATTGCTGATCTCACCTCGGGTAGCCTCTTTCGGCTCGCACGCCTGCTGCACCCGCGCAGCCCCGCCGACTCCCTCGCCGACAGTGTAACCATGCCGGTCGTGCCGCCCCAGGACCAGCTGCGCCAAAGCGCGGGCAGGCGCGCCACCCGGATGGTCGGCAGGCCTACAATTCCTCCTCCGCCAACTCCCCCTCCTCCTGCTCCTCCTCCTCCTCCTATTTCTCCTCTTTCTCCTCTTTCTCCTCCTCCCCCTCCTCCGCCTCCTCCTCCTCCTCCTCCTCCTCCTCATCGTCCTCCTCCTCCCTCTTTTCCCCTCCTCCTCCTCTCTCTCTTCTCCTCCTCCTCCTCCTCCTCCTCCTCCTCCTCCGTTTAAGCTTCCAGCATTGCACCAGCTGTTTTCAAGCTAGGAATGCTGTCTTTGTACACTTCGAGAGTTGCAGGAGCGATTTCCAGGGTCTGTCTGTGTCTCCACATGATGTCCAGCGTGGCCCGCCGCGGGGAGACCCCATCTCGACTCCTTCGGAGTTTCAGGCTTTCTGTTTCGTTCGATCTCCACCAGCATGTTTGTCTTTAACGTGTACGCAGTCCTCTTTGCGCGCATGCAATATACGTAGCATGAGCACTGGCGTGCTAGTTTCTGACATGTTCATGTGGTAGAGGCAAGGGGTGTGAGTTGCATTGCACGCATCTTTGACGGACGCAGGAGACACGGCTAGACAGTGTGAATGTTTTTGTTGTTCCGCCTATGTATGAGTAGCTCGCTGTGACGTAATATATTGAAGTTTGCGCAACGCACCGCGCACGCTGATGTGCTGAAGCTTCGCGTATCTTTACCTGCCTATTCACATTCCCAGGCAATTTGCCTCGACCGGGAACGCGCAGGAGCATGCACTGGAACTTCGAGTGAGTAGCAGTCAAATCTCACCTGGGCAAACACCGCAGTCGACTATAGGTGCCCTTGATGATCTGTCGCGACGGCAGCGTTGGTTTTGGGACCATTTTGGAGGCCTGTTCAGCCCTCTTGCCACCCTCCTGGCGGCCTTGGAAGCCGTCCGTCTTGGAGGCCGTCGGCACAGAAGGAGGGCGGCCACAGTGTTATGGATCATGTCGGCACCCAACTTCCCCTCTCTCTCTCTCTTTGTCCTCTTTCCCCTTCTTACCTCCCTGTGCTGCTTCCTCGCTTCCTCGCTGCTTCCTCGCTCCCCGCCCTTCCCTCCCGCGGCATCCCTCTTCCTCCTCCATCGCCTCATCATCTCTCACTTGCATCAAGATTCGATTAGGGAGGTCAGTTCGCGGGTCAGGCGCAGGAAGAGGTGGGAGAGGAGGGGGAGGAGGAGGAGGAGGAGGAGGAGGAGGAGGAAGAGGACGAGTGGTCGGGGGAGCGCTGGAGCATTCAGTTGAACAAACAGGGGAGCAGCCGTCAGGCCGCAGCTCGAGATCAGCCCGAGCAGGCCCACGAGTCCACCATAAACGCCTTCGCGGGCCTTTCGATCCGGGAGCACCTTGGAAGCTCGTTTGGGCCGTGTTGGGTTATCTTGATTAGGGCTCTCCTTGGGCAGGGCTCGAGCTAAACGGTGTCTTTTTGCGATTTCGTGGGCCGTTTACGCTTTGAGCTCGTTTCGCAGCAAAGGCAGAGCGAATTCAGAAAGAAGGACAACGAACACACAACGAAAACGGAGCACACCTGTTTAGCTCGAGGCCTGTCCTTGGGCCCTGTTCGGGGACCTGCAGACTCTCCTGGAACCACCCTCGCAGGACATCGAATTCAGGAAGCAGGAGCACGAACACACAACGAAAACGGAGCACGCTGTTTAGCTCGAGACCTGTCCCTGGGCCCTGTTCAGGGACCTGCAGGCTCTCCTGGAACCACCCTCGCAGGACATCGAATTCAGGAAGCAGGAGCACGAACACACAACGAAAACGGAGCACGCTGTTTAGCTCGAGACCTGTCCCTGGGCCCTGTTCAGGGACCTGCAGGCTCTCCTGGAACCACCCTCGCAGGACATCGAATTCAGGAAGCAGGAGCACGAACACACAACGAAAACGGAGCACGCTGTTTAGCTCGAGACCTGTCCCTGGGCCCTGTTCAGGGACCTGCAGGCTCTCCTGGAACCACCCTCGCAGGACATCGAATTCAGGAAGCAGGAGCACGAACACACAACGAAAACGGAGCACGCTGTTTAGCTCGAGACCTGTCCCTGGGCCCTGTTCAGGGACCTGCAGGCTCTCCTGGAACCACCCTCGCAGGACATCGGGTTCAGGAAGAAGGAAACGAACACACAACGAAAACGGAGCAACCTGTTTAGCTCGAGACCTGTCCTTTGGGCCCTGTTCAGGGACCTGCAGGCTCTCTCCTGGAACCACCCTCGCAGGACATCGGGTTCAGGAAGAAGGAACGCGAACACACAACGAAAACGGAGCACACCTGTTTAGCTCGAGGCCTGTCCTTTTGGGCCCTGTTCAGGGACCTGCAGGCTCTCTCCTGGAACCACCCTCGCAGGACCTCGGGTTCAGGAAGAAGGAACGCGAACACACAACGAGAACGGAGCAAACCTGTTTAGCTCGAGGCCTGTCCTTTTGGGCCCTGTTCAGGGACCTGCAGGCTCTCTCCTGGAACCACCCTCGCAGGACGTCGGGTTCAAGAAGAAGGAAAACGAACACGCAACGAAAACGGAGCACGCTGTTTAGCTCGAGACCTGTCCTTGGGCCCTGTTCAGGGACCTGCAGGCTCTCCTGGAACCGCCCTCGCAGGACCTCCAATTCAGGAAGAAGGACAACGAACACACAACGAGAACGGAGCACACCTGTTCAGCTCGAGACCTGTCCTCTTGGGCCCTGTTCAGGGACCTGCAGGCTCTCCTGGAACCGCCCTCGCAGGACATCGGATTCGGGAAGAAGGACAGCGAACACACACCACGAAGACGGAGCACACCTGTTCAGCTCGAGACCTGTCCTCTTGGGCCCTGTTCAGGGACCTGCAGGCTCTCTCCTGGAACCGCCCTCGCAGGACGTCGACCGACAAGAAGAAGAGGGGGAGCGCCACTCCGCCTCGGCCTCGGCCCGTCGGAGACCAGGCACCTCGCCTCCTCCTCCTCCTCCTCCTCCTCCTCCTCCTCCTCCTCCTCCTCCTCCTCCCAGGGTACTTTAACTCCTCCTCCTCCTCCTCCTCCTCCTCCTCCTGCTCGACCTCCTCCTCCTCCTCCTCGGATCCTCCTCCTCCTCTCCTCTCCTCCTCCTCTTCCTCCTCTCCTCCTCCTCCTCCTCCCTCCTCCTCTGCTCCTCCTCACCACCTCCCTCCCTCCTCCTCTCCTCCTCATCCTCCTCTACTCCTCCCTCCTCCTCCTTCCTCCTCCTCCTCCTCCTCCTCCTCCTCCTCCTCCTCCTCCTCCTCCTCCTCCTCCTTCGGTGGCCTTCGGGGCCGTGTTTTGGGCCCGTCATTGGCGTTCGCTCGGCGGCGAGCAAAGGGGGGGAGAACTGAGGAGGAGGAGGCCTTCTCAGAGGGCGGCGGACTTCGCAGAAGCCCTCGCGCCTTCTGAGAAGTTGTCGTGTTTGTGTCTCCCAGGAAGGCTCAGAACACTTCTCAGAAGGCCTTGGACTTCTGGGTCTTCCGAGAAGGCCTTCTCCTTCTCATTTCCCCCCCTCGCTCGCCGCCAATTCGTGGGGATTTCTTGGGCGACTGTGAGACCGTCTTGAGGCTTCGGACGCTTATCAGACGTGACCATTCGAGAATACAGGCAGCATGGAACTAGTGTGTGCTTTTCTCTCGTGGTTTGGCATCTAGGAGACTTGGCGCCGTCTTGTGGCGGTTCATCTTGAGCATCTTGGGTTGTATGGTGCCACCAACGAAGCGATCTTGGGTGTCTTCGCTCGTTTTGAACTCTCAAATCCCTCGCGCCCCCTGACCGTAGCCGTCATTTTGGCTCAGTCTTTTTGCTCAGATCGCGTTTTTACAACTTTTTGGGGCCGACAGCAGGTCGCAGGCGTGTGCGCTTTCAGATGAACTCGACGATCGGCCCCGTGACGTTGCTGACTTCGGGGCTGCGCTCCCTGCGAGAACGACGCGGCCTCGAGGTGGGAGCCCTCGACGCCGATGGCCTCGGCAAGAGTGCCGCGGCAGGCAGACCCGCCAGAAGCATTCTGAGGATCCGTGCGCCGGATCGCTTCGACCAGCTCTACAGCGTCAGCAAGGAGCCGCTGTGCGACACGGGGGGCGCGTCCAGGGTCTGGTGCGCCACCTGCGAGGCCACGGGGCAGGAGGTGGTCGTGAAGACTCGGGGCAAGAGGTTCGCCCCCGGCGGCGAGAGCGTGTGGCGGGGGCTGCTGCGGCGCATGCTGAACCTCGAGGCCCACGGCCACGTCATCGGGCTGAACTACGTCTACGAGGACGACGACAGGTGCTCAGAGGAGGAAGAGGTACCCATACCTCTACCCCCTCGCCCGTTTTTTCACCCTTTTCGCTCTCCTGGGTCGCCACCGCTGGATTCGCCTCGGAATCCTGGTCAGAACGCACCCCAGGAGAGGTCCGGGGAGTAGCGGTATCGATACCTTTTGATTTCCCCAGGTATTACCTCGTCATGGACAGGTGCAACGGCGGCGAGCTCTTCGACTTCCTGCGGGTGGAGACGGACGTCCCCGAGAGCGAGTGCAAGCGCATCATGCGCGAAATCTTGGAGGCGCTGGACCACATCCACTCGCGAGGCCTCATCCACCGCGACATCAAGCCTGAGAACATAATGTTCCACGATGCCTCGAAGGGTCAATCTTCGCCGGCGGGCATGAGGTCGCCCAAGAATATCAAGCTCATCGACCTCGACACATGCCAGCAGTACAGCGAGGCTTGCGGCAGCCCCAAGGCCCACCACGTGGTCGGCACCATGGGGTACATCGCTCCAGAGGCGCTCAAGGGGGACTACTCCCCGGCCTCCGACCTCTGGAGCGTGGGCGTCATCTTGTACATCCTGATGACCGGGGACATGCCGTTTGGCCCGGAGGTGTTCGACCACAACCCGAGCGACCTCCGCTGCGACGGCACCCAGATGCAGAGCCACTGGGAGAGGCTGCGGGACTCCACGGTCGACTTCGAGTGCGAGCCCTGGCCGGCCTTCCCCCAGGCCAGGAGCCTCTGCGAGCAGCTCCTGGCCTTCGACCCCGGCGAGCGGAGCCCGAGTGCCCGGGCCGCCCTGGCGCACCCCTGGCTGAGGTGCTGAGGCGCGGATCGGATCGCCGCCGGCGGGGGGGCAAGAGGCCCGCGCGGGGAGCACGGGCGCAGCCCGGTGGACTTTTGTCGGGCGCCTCGCGCAGCTCTGCCCTTTTCTGGCCTGTGTGCTCCGCCTGGGATATGCGCCGCTCTCTGTGAGGAGGCCCGGCCCCCTCTCCCTCCCCCTCTCCCCCCCGCCCTCCCTCCCCTCCCCCCCCCCCCCCCCCCCCCCCCCTCCTCTGCCATTCCATTCTTTGTGCACTGAGTGCTGGGTCAGAAGATCCAGAAGGTCTTTTTATCTTTGGCTGCAGGGCTAGGCCCCCCTCACGCCTGGCTCCCCCGCTCATCTCGATAGTAGCAGGAGCTGACCCGACGCCGGTTTTGTCGGGCGCGTCCCAAAGGGGACGGAGCCTCGGCCGCGGTTCGTCCACTCTTTTTTATTGTTGTTGTTGTTGTTGCTCGCGCAGCGCACCTCCACTGCTATCCCGCCTCTCCTCTCCAAGGCGGCAGCTGGCCGAGGGCGCTGGGCATGTATTTAGGATCTGGGCTCCGTTTTTTTTTTGGATTGTCGCTCGCATGCTGGTCCTGAGCCCACCGCCCCCTTCACTTAGAGTGGAGCGGGCCTAGCTTCCCGCATGGATCTTGCCGGTGCAAGACGGGAGAGCGCGGCTCGGAAAAGAGAGTCCTTCGCGCCCCCTCTGTCCATACCCTGGGGATGGAGGCGGGGGAGGGGTACCCCCCACCCCCGCAGGGTGAGAATGAGACTTGGACTAATGGACTTCATGTATAACACCTACGCTCAGAAGACTGGCGGGATCATGCAGCAGGTCTAGCACACAGCTGGCACATGTGCCATAGCATGAGCCATTGTATCTATCTGCGCACGGTATATCTTGAGATGCGTATGCGGGCGCATGTTTTTACACACCGAGTACTTTGAGGCTGTTCTGTACAGTTACAAAGGCGTGTGTATGTGTGTATATGTGTTTGTTTGTGCGCTTGTGTATTTGTTTGGTGTGCAGTAGACCTAAAGTCACACACGCGCGTGTATCTGTATTCGCAGAAATGCAATGCGCAACATGCGGTTCCGTATAAACGCCTCATGGCACATGCATTTTTCCCAACCACCCTGTGGTGTTGGGTCCTCATTTTGAAGAGACGGTGCCCCGCGTTCCTCTCTTCCTCTCCTCCTCCCCCTCCTCCCTCCTCCTTGCGTTTCACCCACCCAGCACAGCGTTTCGTGGCCCCATAGGGAGCCCCACCTAAGGTCGCAGTGGCGCAGTTCGCATGGCGCTGCCTCCCCATTTTAGCACACCCCTCACACGTTTCGTGGCCCCACAGGGAGCTCCACCTCAGGTCCCAGTGGCGCAGTTCGCATGGCGCCGCCGCCCCATTTTGGCACACCCCTCACACGTTTCGTGGCCCCATAAAGAGCTCCACCTGAGGTCCCAGTGGTGCAGTTGGCATGGCGGCGCCGCCCCATTTTGGCACACCCCTCACACGTTTCGTGGCCCCACAGGGAGCTGCACCTAAGATCCCAGTAGCGCAGTCCGCATGGCGCCGCCGCCCCATTTTGGCACACCCCTCAGACGTTTCGTGACCCCAGAGGGAGTTCCACGTAAGCTCGCAGTGGCGCAGTTCGAATGGCGCCGCCGCCCCATTCTGGCACACCCAGCACACGTTGTGTGGCCCCACAGGGAGCTCCACCTGAGGTCCGAGTGGCGCAGTTCGCATTGCGCCGCAGCCCCATTTTGGGACATCCCTCACACGTGTCGTGGCCCCCATAGGGAGCTCCACGTAAGGCCGCATTGGCGCAGTTCGCATGGCGCCGCCGCCCCATTCTGGCACACCCCTCACAAGTTCCGTGGCCCGACAGGGAGCTCCACCTGAGGTCCGAGTGGCGCAGTTCGCATGGCGCCGCCGCCCCATGTTGGCACACCCCTACACGTTTTGTGGCCCCACAGGGAGCTCCACCTGAGGTCGCAGTGGCGCAGTTCGCATGGCGCCACCGCTTCATTTTGGGACAACCCTCGCACGTTTCGTGGCCCCACAGGGAGCTCCACCTAAGGTCGCGGTGGCGCAGTTCGCATGGCGCCGCCGCCCCATTTTAGCACACCCCTCACACGTTTCGTGGCCCCACAGGGAGTTCCACGTAAGATCGCAGTGGCGCAGTTCGCATGGCGCCGCCGCCCGATTGTGGCACACCCCTCACACGTTTCGTGGCCCCATAGGGAGCTCCACCGAAGATGCCAGTGGCGCAGTTCGCATGGCGCCGCCGCCCCCTTTTGGCACACCCCTCACACGTTTCGTGGTCCCACAGGGAGCTCCACCTAAGATCGCAGTGGCGCAGCTCGCATGGCGACGGGGCGAGGGAACGGCGACCGTCGGACAGTCTACGGCCGAAACTTCTGGGCCTGAGCGGTCCGCAGCCAGACCTTCTCGCAGCCAGACCTTCTCTCGGCGCGCCGGACAGCCGTCGGCTGTCCGGCGCGCTGCTCCCTCGGCCGACATCGCCCAGGCGTGATCCTGGACTGCGGCCGACACGACGTGGGGAACGGCAAGAAGGAGGTTGACGACTGGTGGCTGGAGCTCCTACGCGCTGCTCTCGCGCGCCACGCGCCACGAGGATCTCCTGCTCATGCGGGCGCCGCGCATCGAGTTCTTCCCGGCAGGGCCGCCGGAGGGCTTGCGCGGAAGCAGCTGGAGCAGTTTGCCGCGCGTACGAAGCGGTGCGGGAGGGAGGCGGCGGCCCTCGCCAGGGAGCTGAGCTTCGCCGAGTTTATCCGCGAGGCTTGACCTGAGGAGCGCCCGCCCGAGCTTCGCCGTCTCTCGACGGTCTGATTGTTTGGCCTCGCGCCACGGGCGACCCGCGCGCGCCCCTGGGACACCGACCAGCGCGCGTCGCGGGAATGCCGCGCTGTGCTCTGCCCAGAGCCTCGCTCGCCCCCGTCGTCGCTCTGCCCGGCGGCCGCGTGCCCGTTATCAGCCAGCCAGCTAGCTCTCTCTGCTCCGCGCAGCGGACGACCCGCGCGCGTCGTTGGGGCCCTTGCAGGGCGACCGACGCGCGTCGCGGGGTGTCTGCGCGGCGCCGCGCCCGCAGCCTTGGACATGGGCGCGCGCGGGCAAAGAGGGGGAAGAAAAACGGAAAGGAAGCGGGCGCGATCTTCGTGAGGAGCGTGTGCGACACGGGCGTCGCGGCGTGCGGGCGCAGCTGTCGGGGTTCCAGGGGGGGCTTCCTGCGGCGGCCGCGCTCAGTGTCACTCAGGGTCAGGCGTACGTGAACAATTCACATTCGTATATATATATATACACACATGCACACGCCAGGCGTGGTCATGCTCGCACTCATGCAAATATATTCACTCGCGCGCAGACTCATTCGCACTCAGACTCACTCGCGCTCAGACTCACCCGCGCTCAGTCTCTCGCAGTTGGACCTATCGTCTTCCTTCGTGCTGTGTGCCCCGCCACGCAATTCGGCGCACTCCTCATCCGGTTCGTGGCCCCATAGGGAGCGCCACCGAAGAAGATGTCCACAATTGCGGTACTCACAACTGCATACGGTTGGGTCCTTCGCCAGGCTAATTTACGACACGGTGCGTGCAACGTATTCCCAGCCTTGCAACCTGCGCGTTGCACACTGCACGCTGCGCGTGCACACTGCTTGGACAGGAGGCTTGGTTTTGAGGCGTGGCGGCCCTTCTCGGTGAGCCTGGGCAGGCGCGCCAGGTTGACGGTGAAAAACACCTTCATCAGCGAGCTCGACAGCCCGGACGTCGGGCGACGAAAACGGTACACATCTGCTGCCCTTGGCCAGGCCCATCCTGGGCCCAGGAGCGGTGAACATCAGAGAAAAATTCAGGCACACTTTCCGCAATTTGAGGTCCCCTGGGGGGCCCTCGTCGCCGCGGCTGGATTTGGATTCGCTCCGAAATCCTGGTCAGAAAGCACCGGAGGAGAGATCCGGGGAGTAGCAGTATCTGTATCTTTTGGCTTCTCCAGCGTATGTCTTCCTGGCCAAGCCAGGAGGGCGCATACACCATTCCTGGGACCAGGATGGGTCTGGCCAGGAACAGTGGACATGCATACCCCGACATCCTCTTACATGATTCTTCCAATCTGCGGCCCCGACGCTTTCCTCAGGGGTTAGTTTTTTGCCCCGGATCCGTTTTTCCCAGCGATCCTCTGGTGTTGGGTCTTCGCTTTGAAAAGAGGGCGCCCCGCGTTCCTCACTCCTTACTCCTCCCCCTCCTCCCTCCTCCCACCCCTGTCCTTGCCCATGCCGGCACACCCCTCAAACGCTTCGTGGCCCCATAGGGAGCTAGCTCCACTGAGTGCCTCCGTGGTGTGGTTCGCATGTGGGCGTCACGCCCGTTTCAGCACACCCATCACACGATTTGTGGCCCCACATGGAGATCCCCACCGACGGCCTCAGAGGCACAGTTCGCATGTGGTCGTCGCGTTCATTTCGGGACGCCCCTCACACGTTGCGTGACCCGAAAGGGAGCTCCACAGAAGGCCCAATTTCCACAGTTCGCATGTGGGCGTCGCGCCCGTTTCGACACACTCCTTCTACGCGTCGTGGCCCCATACATACGGAGCTCCACCGAAGGCCTCAGACGCACAGTTCTCATGTGGGTGTCGCGCCCGTTTCGACACACCCCTCGCACGTTTCGTGGCTCCATGATGGGTTTCTCCGAAGGCCCCAGGGGCATCGTTCGCACGTAGGCGTCACACCCGTTTCGGCACAACCCTCACACGTTTCGTGGCCCCAGAATGAGCTCCACCAAAGGCTCCAGTGGCACTCTTCGCAGGCGAGCACCATGCCCGTTCCTTGACACCCCTTCCACGCCTCGTAGCCCCATATCATCGGAGGTGAGGGGGTGAGATCGAAGTGGAACGGAGAGCCCCCCTACCGGGAAATCGATTTCGGTTTCGTGTTCGTGCGTGCCGTGCGTGCGGGCGAGGCGAAGCTGCGTGGGCGGGCGAGAGAAAGTCTCCTGTGGCTGAGGCGCGGCCGGACCAAATGTCTCCCTTCCGGGCGGCCGGTGGCCCGCGGTGTCCCGCCGGTGTCCCGCTGGTGTCCCGTGTGGCTGAGGCGCGGCCGGACCAAATGTTCCCCCGGGCGGCCGGTGGCCCGCGGTGTCCCGCCGGTGTCCCGCCCGCGTGTCCCGCGGTGCCGCCGCGGTGTCCCGCCGGTGTCCCACGGTGCCGCGTGATGATGATGTGTGATGCTGATGATGATTGATGATGATGATGATGATGATGATGCTGATGATGCTGATGATGTGATGATGAATGATGATGAGATGATGATGATGCTGATGATGATGATGATGATGATGATGATGGATGATGGTGATGCTGATGATGATGATGATGATGTGATGCTGATGATGATGATGATGATGATGATGATGATGATGCTGATGATGATGATGATGATGATGATGATGATGATGATGATGATGATGATGATGATGATGATGATGATGATGATGATGATGATGATGATGATGATGATGATGATGATGATGATGATGATGATGATGATGATGATGATGATGATGATGATGATGAGGATGATGATCGAGTGAGATCGAGTGTGAGATAGATCGAGTGAGATCGAGTGAGATCGATTGTGAGATCGATTGTGAGATCGATCGAGGGAGATCGATCGAGCGAGAGCGATACTGAGATCGATAGTGAGATCGATAGTGAGACCGATCGAGTGAGACGTTGGTTCCCCCCCCCCCCCGAACCTCCTTATCACCCGAAGGGTGGTCGTATAGGTATAGGGTATAGGGAGCTCCACCGAAGGCCCCAGTGGCACCGTTCGCATGTGAGCATCACCCCGACGCTTCGTGGCCTCGCGGCCCCACGGTGCCCACAACGTGGTACTCACAGCTGCAGATGGTTGGGATAACGCACCTCAGAGCCCGAGCTTCGAGGACAAAACGCCAGGATGGAACACATCACATCGTCGGAGCTCGGAGTACCGTGGGGGCCTTCGCCGAGGAATGTGTCCAGGAGGCTTCAGATCCTGGAGGATTCCTTATCTGATGAGGGCGGCGGTGATCTCCATGGCTTTTCCACGGTTGCGGTTGGAGTCCCACCGGCTTCCAGGCCAGGCTGCTCGTTTTGTTTATCTCTTGGCGATAACGGCCGTTACTGGGGGGGAGAGGGGGGGAGGGGGCTGGTAACGTCACGATTCGCGCCGGCACGGTAGCATATTCGTAGCCCAAACGTCGCCGGCGCGAGCCGTGGCGTTACCAGGTGGGGGGTGGGAGGCTGGGGAGCATCCCCGGTAACGGCTGTTATCAGAGCCCCGAATCATCAGGGGTAACTCGGGTCAGGGCTAACTCGGGTTCGTTTTTCGGGATTCCGAACCCGAGTTACCCCGGACCCGAGTTACCCCGGATAACTCGGGCGTCCAGAGCCCCGAATCATCAGGGGTAACTCGGGTCAGGGCTAACTCGGGTTCCTTTTTCGGGGATCCGAACCCGAGTTACCCCGGACCCGAGTTACCCCGGATAACTCGGGCGCCCAATGTTGTCGCGAGTTGTAATGATCACGCGCAGCCGGGTGCCTCATCCGCTGGTTCCCTGCCCGGTGCCCTCACCGTGTTGGCCCCGTCGCCCCACGGAGGAGGCCCCGTCGCCCGGCCCCCGCGGCGCCTCCCGGACCTGGGCGGCCGGCGCCGGCCCCGACGCAGAGCCGACCGGCGCGGGCGCTCGGGCGGGGCTGCATAGGGGGCATCAGGGGCAACGACACCCTGACCTTCCAGAGATCTATTTTTTAGCTCTGGAGACCTAAAAACCTAAAAAGCGGGGCGAAACAGCCTAAAACCAAGACGTAGAATAGCTCTGGGATAGGTTTTTAGGTCGAGTGCTATTTTTTAGCCCTCCTGGAAGGTCAGGGGCACAGGGGGGATGCTTCGGCCCCCAATCGCCAATTGATCGCCGAAAGGCAGGCGATCGCAAGCATGGGTCGAGGGGGCGTGGAAGCAGCGACGGTTCCCGTTTCCATGGGAAATCGCGGAGGTCCGCCGCCGAGCGAGGCGGCATCGGCCACATTTTGTGGAGGGCACCTCCCCCGATGCATGGATTTGGCGACCGCGCGCCAAATAGGATCGCTAATCCATTTTTGCGCGCCCCCGAGATAGGGTCCCGAGAGCCACAACCTGCCCAGGAACGTGCGGATATTCATTTTATCGTGGGCACATCGCCGATCTATCGGCCATGTGTGGCCGATTCATATCGCCGATCTATCGGCGATGTATCACCCTGATGCGAATCCCTCCCTATCGTTGCCCCTCAGATCTTCTGGGCCTCCCAGATTCGTTCCGATCGAAGGGGGTACCGAAGAGGGTACAGAGACCGACAGCAGGTCCTGTAGCTCCTGTGCATTTTGAGCAACACTCGCCGTCGGCGTTGCCGCGGACGGTGCTCCACTGGAGACAGGAAGCCGCCTGGCCAGCAGCGGCCGCTGTCGGTTTTGGACAACCTTTGTCATTGGGGGCATCGTACCCATTTTCTCCGTATCTCTTTCGGGCGTCCAAGCAGATGGGGCCCGAGTAGATGGGGTCGGAGGATGCCGCTTCATCGCCGATGCATCGACGATACGGCTCGATGTGGAGTCCAATCTTCTCCACCCCGACATCGTCGATGCGTCGCCGAAGCCGCCGACGCATCGTTGATGCATCGCCGATGCATCGCCGCTGCGGCGCGCCTCGGATCCCATCTACTCCGACCGAATTCGGAAGGCCTCTAAGAGACAAAACGTCCCGGAACGCTCTCAGAGCGTGCCGTGACGCTCTGAGAAGTCAGCAGCGCCCGATACCGCCTCCAGAACCACCAGATCTCCCACGGCATCCGGCGTCTCTGGCAGATCGAGGCCTCGCGAGAAGCCACGGCCGGAGCGCCCCGGACCCCATCTCTCTGCGGCGTCTCTGGAGGCGGCTCGATCCGTGAGGGCCTCCCGGGGCCCGCAACCGGGCGGTGACGCCTGGCTCGAGAAGCCGGCTGGAAGAGCAAGTGGAGGCGCCAGGAGCTCAGGGGAGTCCTGTCCGATGCTGTCCCTGCTCTTCGGCGGCGAGCGAGGGGGGGGAAGTGAGCAGGAGGAAGGCCTTCTCGGAGGGCGGCGGGGCTCCTCAGGAGCCCTCGTGCCTCCCGAGAAGTCGTTTGTGTGTGTGTGTGTGTCTTCGGGGAAGGCCTCAGACAACTGCTCAGCAGGCCCGAGACTTCTCGAGCCCTCTGAGCAGGCCCGCCCCTCTTCCCCTTTCCCCCCCCCGGGCGCGCCGCCGAGCTCTGGCCTCGCATCAGTCGGCCACACGTACCCTGACCTTCCAGGAGGGCTAAAAAATAGCACTCGACCTAAAAACCTATCCCAGAGCTATTCTACGTCTTGGTTTTAGGCTGTTTCGCCCCGCTTTTTAGGTTATTAGGTCTCCAGTGCTAAAAAATAGCTCTCTGGAAGGTCAGGGTAAGAGTGACCCTTCGCCGGAGTGACCTTTGGTGCGCGCTCCCTGGGGTCCTCCGATCGCCGCGCTCGGTGCGATAGCAGCGTCTTGCGCGCTTGTGTTTTTGGCCTCCTCGCGCCCCCCCCAAAAAAGCCGCGCACCAAAGGTCACTCTTGCCCAGGGTCGCTCTCACGTGCAGCCGAAGCAGGCGCACGCCCGCTGGCGCAAGGCGCCCGCCGCGAGCTCGACGTGGGCGCCGGCGGCGGGCCCTGCGGGCAACGGCGCGGGTCCGGCCGCGGGGCCGAGTGCGCGGGCGCTGCGCGGCGGCTGCCGTCGCGCAGCCTCTCGCCGTGCTACGTGAGCCTCCGGGATGAGGATCGGAGGGCCCCTAATTTGAAGTTTGGCATGACCCTCTACAGGAGGAGTGTTCAAAAGTAATCAAGAAATAAGTTGGGGACGATTTTTCAACTATCGGCTATTTTTGAATACTTTTTGACTATGTTTTATTCTTCGTCCAAAACCAGCCTGAAGGAGGAGATGCCCGCGACCTCACCCTAACTTCGGAGCTGGCTGGGTTAAGAACAGCAGACGGCATGAGCGTGAGCTTTCGGAGCTCGCGGATTGCTTGGATCTGCGCTTGGGCCCCCCTGGCGGGGGGGGGGGTCGAGCGCCGATCCGAGACATGCGGGCGGATCTCCAGCAGTGTGTGTTTATGCAGTTCTTGATTCCCCTGGAAGGGTCCCGTAACTTTGGAGCTAGCTGGGCGGCTGAGCTGGCCTAGCCCTGTGTTTCCGAAAGGAGAAGAAGGGACCCCCTCGTCACCACGGCTGGACGCGGTTCGGCAACCTGGGCAGTTCCGGCCCCGGGAGGGGTCCAGGGACCGAGTTTGAGAGCGGATTCGTTTTCTGGGAGATGTTCTCTGGCAGCCCCCCCAGGCCGCCTCCAGCCCTAACTGAGGACACTGCCGTTTTTTTTTTACATGCTCCCCGTGCGGATCATCTATTAAACATGCAGGGATTTAATATAAAACAACGAGGAGTTCATGCATGTGTTCATACATTAATCATGTATCTAAAAAATGTATATGCTTAAACATAGAATGTATTAAAAACTGCCCTGGAGTCTCCGACAAGCATCAGCGCCCCTCTGGCAGGAGCTTGGCGCCCCAGGCCGGCGTGGGAGAGCCCCCCAGAAACGAGGTCTGAGCAGTGGCTACAGTGCCGTTTTCAAATACATGCTCCGCGTGGGGATCATGTATTAAAAATGCAGGGATTTAGTATTAAACACAACGATGCGTTCATGCATACATTTACGCATACATTAATCATGCATTTAACAATTTTTATTTACAAATCCTATGTCTCAAAAACTGCCCTGTACACAGTGGCCCAGTACGGGCCCAGTACTGGCCAGACGTGAGCATCCCTGAGCGTCGGCCACACGCAGAAGGGGCCGGGGGAGGGGAGAAGGCTTCTTAGAAGCACCCCTGCTCCTTGGAAGGAGCGGCCCGTGCTTGTAGAGGCAAGGCCGGCGCCTTCTGAGAGGCGGCCTCCTTATCAGACGCCTTCCCCCCTCCCCCTGCCCCCCTCGGCGCGCCGCCAAAGCCGAATACGATGACATCGGGGGACGAAGTCTATACATATCCACTGCTCCCTGGCCAGGCCCATCCTGAACCCAGAAGCTGTGTATACGCCCTCCTGGCCAAACCAGGAGGGCGTGGCGTATACACAGCTGCTGTGTTCAGGATGGGCCTGGCCAGGGAGCAGTGGATATGTATAGATTGCGTCGCCCTATGACAAACGCGTCACGTGGGCATAGACTGTCGGAGGTCGGCGCAGATTGCTCGGATCGGCGCCGGGCCTCCCTGGTGGCGCCTCTGCGTGCCAGGCAGGGGTGCCCAGCGCCGATCTCGGAGAACCGCGCGGACCTCCGACAGTTGATCTTCTCGATGTCGTGTCCATTGTTTCTTCTTCTTCTTCTTCTTCTTCTCTTCTTCTTCTCCTTCTTCTTCTTCTTCTCCTTCTTCTTTTTATTCTCGTTTATGTTCCTCCTTCTTTTTCTTTTTCTCCCTCTTCTTCTGCTTCGTCTACCGAAGGGGGGCTGGGGCAAGTCAGCTTGGCTCCGCGATGCTCCCCAGCACCGCCCCCGACGCCTCCCAGGGGCTCGGGGGGCCGGGGAGGGCCAGCCGCACGCAGCCGCTGCCCCCCCCCCCCCCCCGTGAGCCTTGAGGAGACCCTGCCCTGACCTTCCAGCGAGCTATTTTTTTCAGCACTGGAGACCTAACAACCTGAAGAGCTGGGCGAACACAGCCTAAAACCAAGACGTAGAACAGCTCTGGGACAGGTTTGTGAGTCGGGTGCTATTTTTTTTAGCCCTCCTGGAAGGTCAGGGTGCTGACCCCCCTGGGCAAGGGGCTCCCGCGAGGAGCCGCCGCTCCGGGCGGGCCCGGGCCAGCCCCCGGGGCTGCGCCTGCCCCTCCTGCGGCCGCCGAGGCTCCCCGCCGGCCCGGACGGCCAGCCCACGCCGGCGGGCACGGCCTCGCGCGGGCCCTCCGCCGACCCGTGGGAGCAGCGCACGCCGGCCCTCACCGCGTCCCGCTGGCCCTCCGCGGAGCTCGCAGCGCCCGGGCCCGCCTCGGGCCCGCCGTCGCCGGCCCGCACCGCCTCGCGGTGGGCCTCGGCCGACCTGGGCGAGTGCGCCGTGGGCCAGGCCGCCGCGCTGGACCAGTCGACCAGCTCGGAGGTCTCCACGGGCAGCGCCGGGGCCTGCAGCAGCCTCACCTGGAGTGCCGACCAGCAGGCGGTCGGCGAGCAGAGTTGGGAGTGGCGCCCGGCGCCATCCCGCGTGGGCCTCGAGCCGCATGTGGCCGCCCCCGACCCGGCCACCCCCGGTCCACCGGCGGCCGTGGCCGCGCCGATCGCTGCTCCGCACTCGGGCGCGGGCATGCCCCTGTGCCTCTCGGCCGCCATTGGGCCAGCGAGCTGTGGCGCCAGCATGTTCCCGCTGTACCTGCCAGGCACGCCCGGGGGATGCTTCGGTGGGGTCATGCACCCTGCAGCCCTGGCCGCCGCCTGTGAGCAGCAGCTGCAGCTCGTGCACATGGCCAGGCTGGCGGCGACCATGCGCGCCCCCGTGCCGGCACCTCCCGGCCTCCCCGCCACTGCCCGGCCCGCCGCACAGCCGCCCGCTGTGGAGCTCGCGGCAGCCCTCGGCAGCGGCGGCCGCGATTGCGCTTCAGGCAGCGGTGGCCCGGCGCGCCCGAGCCAGTCGAGTGCCTCGGCGGCGGCGGCAGGCGCCCTGGGCACCAGCATGGCTGCTGCGAGGCGCGCGCGCCCGCAGGGCTCCCGGCGGCTGCGCATGTGGGCACACCTCCACCTCCATATGCAGGCCCCCGGGTTCGACCTGGTCCCCCGTCTCATCGGGCGCGGGGGGTCCACCCTGCGGGGCATCGCGGAGCGCACCGGCTCCAAGATCCGAGTCCGCGGCCGCGGCAGCGGCCACCTCGAGGTCAATGGCACCAGCGAGGCTCCGTGCCCGCTCATGGTCGCCGTGACCACGGATCGTCAGGACAACGCAGGTTTCGCCTCGGCCGTTGAGAGCGTCGTGCGGGAACTGCGCGCGTTGGAGCGACGGTTCCACGCGTTCTGCGAGCAGCGCGGTGTGCAGCACGAGGACCCTGGCTTCAGCGTAGGACTGCTCGGTCCCGGTGCCCAGGACCTCCTCGGCGAGGCCCTGGAAGGAGTGGCGGAGAGCCGCGCCTGCTAAGGCGGCGGACCCGAGACCGCCAGAGGCTGCTGCTCAGTCTCTGCTCGCTGCTGAGGCAGGCCACGTTTGCGTTAGTCTCCTCTGGAGCTTGGAGCGGGCTGGGGGTTTGAGGTGGCCCAGCATTGGTTCTGGCCAGCAGGAAATAAGGGGGCATGTTCGAGGTTCTGGGTTCGAGCAGGTTTTGTGCTTTTCGGCCTCTGGGGGCCCTTTTCGAGCTCTGGGACCGTCAGAAACGGATCTGGGCCGACAAACTGCACCACGTGGAGCCTGGGAGCGGTCCAGGGACTGATTTTGAACGGATCCGGCCTCAGATATTCAGGAGGGAAAAAAACACACAGACACAATTAATGGTCGACTCCCAGGAAAATATGCAAAAATATGGGAAGTGGGGGGGAAGACAAAAAGCAAAAACAAATGGGCAAATATGGGGAATCTTTTGTTTATTTGTGTGTATTTATTTGTGTGTCCTGGGGCCCCTTCAGATATTCCCTTGCCCGACTCCTCCTCTGGGGCCCCGACCAGTTCGGACCTCCAGTCCGCCTCCAACTTGAAGCCCTAATCGGCGCCGGCGCGCCCGCGCCCCTCTCGGGCGACAGACGCCCCTCTTGCCCGCCCAGCCCCCCGTCCTCTGGTCGGCGGCGAGCCGAGGGGGGGAAGTGAGAAGGAGAAGGCCTTCTCTCAGAGCGTGAATTTCCTACCCCACTTTCGCTTCCAGGAAAAACCAAGTCATACCTCGCGCCTCCTCGTCACGCGGCCTGACCAGTACAGGCCGTAGTTTGGCATCGCTTGGTATCTCTTGGAAGCGAGGGTGGTCAAAAGCGAGGTAGGTTTGTTTTCCCCCTATTCTCAGAAGGCGGCGGGACTTCTCAGAAGCCCTCGCGCAAGCCCTCGCGCCCTCCGAGAAGCTTTTTGTTTGCCTTCGGGAGAGGCTTAGAAAACTTCTCCGAAGGCCGGGGGACTTCCGAGCCTTCTGCGAAGGCCTTCTCTCTGGACGCCCGAAATGGGTACGGAAAGAATGGGTACAATGTCCAACTGCAGTTCCTGTTCATTTTGAACAGGACTCGCTGTCCACGCCGCCGCGGCCTGTGTCCATTCAAGACAGGAGGCCGCCTGCCCAGCAGCGGCCGCTGTTGGTTTGGGACAACATTTGTTGTTGGGCATTGTACCCATTCTTTCCGTGCCCATTTCGGGCGTCCAAATTCTCCTTCCCACTTCCCCCCCTCGCTGGCCGCCGGTCTGGACCCGCAGCGGCCTCCGGCGAGCAAGGGCCCAGGGGAATGCCGTGGTCCGACGCGGGTCGCCCCCGAGCGGGTCTCGCGCTCCGCCTGGCCCGCCTGCGGCAGGCGGTGCGATCCGATTCCTCGCCCTGGGCCCCGGGCGCCTCTCCGAAAGCAGGCGCCCGTCGATGCTTTTGGGGCCTTTGCTGCCGAATCGTGGCCTGAGCTGCTGCAGTGTTGCAGGCTGCCTGATTTTAAGTTAGCCGGAGAGAGCACCAGCTGTTGGCGGTCTCTCTTCTGCTGGTTGGGGATGGCTCCGCGCCGAGTTTCGCTGGTGACGGGCGGGGGTCATCCTTCCTCGATCCCAGAATCGAGTCCAGTCTGGGACAGGTCAAATTTTGCCTGTGAATTCATGGCACGTTTCGTGGTCAGTGCGCTATGCTTCAGGCCAGCTAGCCGGACAAATACGCGCTACCTTCAAGCTGCCCGCCTTCCCACATTGTATAGCCATGCTGGGAGCTCTCTTCGAGTCAGCTTATTGAATGCAGATTTTTGTTCGTGCCGCCACCAGAAAAGATCGCCAGACCACCACCCCATGATGAGCTCCGTTTGTGGGTAATGCAACCTCGGGGCATGTTCCAGCACAGCACGCCAACTTGACCCTTTGCATGGGAACCCCATTGGCGTCACCCTCGAGGGAACCGTATCGATACAGAGAGCGCGTGGGACAATTGTTAGAGCTGGAGACATTGACATACGCTACGTGAGCGTCGATTAAGCTAGCTGGGTACATCTGCGAAGCAGCACTCCACGTGTGCAGCGTGCATGTGGTTCGTGAGTCTTGGGTTGGCTGCGCCTTGTCTCACTCTCCTTCCACCCTCTTCGATGCTGAGAGGAACATGTCATAAGCCTCGAGCGAGCTCCCGCTATGCCAGATGTAAGCAGCGGCTTTGATCAAACATCATTCGACCGTGTAGGCATACGGCCATTTCTCTCGGAGGTTGGTAGACCTCCTACCCTGACACGTCGATTAGCGAATTGGCCGTTTTCGGTTGGCGAAAGGGAGTCGCGGCCGTCATTTTTGCGGGTCCAGGTTCGTCGGTTTCGGTCCCAGGCCGTTTTCACTAAAAGGTGGTCTATTAAACGGAGGTATGTTCACCGCCGATTCTCTTCCTTCTCGTCGTCTAACATGGAATGTGGTTAAATACAGCGCACGTTATGGACCAGTGATGGTGCACGATGCTGCAGGTGATCTGTGACCACCTCCAGTTGTGCCTGGATGGTTTTACACGCGTGTGGATCAGATGCGCCACGGGTGCACTTTAAGCAGATACCCTGTAGGAATAACTAATGATTCGAGCAAGCTGTGCTGGGTGAGAGGTTGAAGCGTTCACCCGTGCTGTGTGACATCAAGGAGTTATTCCCAACCATTTTGCGGTGCTGGGTCCTGGTTTTAGAGACAGCGCCCCGCGTCTCCTCTCTCCTCCTCCTCCTCCTCCTCCTCCTCCTCCTCCTCCTCCTCCTCCTCCTCCTCCTCCTCCTCCCCCTCCTCCTCCTCCTCCCCCTCCTCCCTTCTCCCATCCCCCATCTCTGCCTCAGCCCCCCGTACGACCATTTCGGCACACCCCTCAAACGCTTTGTGGCTCCACCGAGGGAACGATTGCCTGGGCTCGCATTCGGTTCCCCGCCCATGTCGTCACACGCCTCACACATTCTGTGGCCCCATAGGGAGCTCTACTGACAGCCTCTGTGGCAGGGTTCGCCTGCGGTTCCCTGCCCTTTTCGGCAAACCACTCACACGTTTTGTAGCTCCATCGGGAGCTCCTGCGAAGGCCTCTGTGGCAGGATTCGCAAGTAGCTTCCCGCCCATGTCGGCACATACCTCTCATGTTTCGTGGCCCTATGGGGGCCTCCACCGAAGAGGATTCTCTGAACTGCTGTACTCGCAACTGACTGCGTATAGTTGGTCTTCCGCCAGGATGATTACAATCGCGGCGGAGACATGATGTTCGGTATACAGATAAGGCATACATGCGCAATGCGATGCACCGCTCCGACAGAAGCTTTTCAGTACGCTGAAGATGCTGTTGGACCAGGTTTTCAGACTCAAGCTACCTACACGACCACACTTCGGGTGATCAGGAGGTTGTGGGGGGAACCAACCGATGATAACTGCGGTAGGACATCATCGGGACACCCTGGCGACGAATAAATGCCACCATCGGGACAGAATGCGCATACGGTCCATGGCCCCATAGGAAGCTTCACCCAAGGTCTCAGTGGCGTCGTTCCCATGCGTCCCCGCCATCAATGTTGGCACATCCCTGACACGGTTCGTGGCCCCGTAGGGAGCTCCACCTAAGGCTCCAGTGGCGACGTTCCCATGGGTCCCCATTACCCATTTTGGCACACCCCCCACACAGTTCGTGGCCCCATAGGGGGCCCCAGTGGCGACGTTCCCATGCGTCCCCGCCACCCATTTCGGGTTCGTGGCCCCATAGGGAGCTCCACCGAAGGCCCCAGTGGCGACGTTCCCATGCGTCCCCGCCACCCCATAGGGAGCGCCACCAAAGACGATATCCACAATTGCGGTACTCACATTTGCGAATGGTTCGGTCTTTTGCCAGGCTGAGTGTTTTTGGAAATGCCTCCCACTATCGGGCTGGACCCCCCCCCCACTTGCTGGCGCTCGCGCGCATACCATGGCGGTCACAGTGCGCCCCTGCCACGATGTGCTTCACCCCGCCCATGCTTTACTTCTACGCAGGCCCCCACCCCTTCTGGGTATGACGACCGTTACCAGATTCTTTCGACATGAAATAACAACATGTTCTCCTTCTCATCCGAAGACCTTCCCGCACGGGCTCCAAACGCCGCCCCGTCCTCGCCAGCCTCGATCTGATCCCTAGCCCTAAGGTGTGCAAGCCCAAAGGCGATGACAATCTTAGGGATGCGCCTTCAGAGGCTGGCGGATTCCTGCAGATCGGCATCGAGATCGGGCGATGCCAACCATACACCTTAGGCGATGCTTAAGAAAACCTAAGTTTTCGGCCAGAGTCTCGATCATTCGTAACGTTTCTATGTAAACCCTAAGATTTTGATCGAAATGTTGGGTTTTTATTCGAATTCTGAGAGTATGAATTTCTTAACCCATGATTTCTAAAGCATTTCGCAGGGTGTAGAGATGAGGCTATGTTCCAGGCTTGTAACGCCCCGCCGGCGGAGGTGGGCGACTTCAACCAGAAGCGGGAGCTGGCTCTCCAGAACTACCTCGACCAGGCCCGCGGCGCAGCTCCGCGGCCGACCTGAGCGCACCTTGCCGCGCTGTGCGTCTCCCGAGGCGTCGTCGCTCTCCGACCCAGGAGGAGTGAGGTGCACAGTTTCTCGGCCATCGGAGTTGACAGACTGTACGCCGTACCGCGTCCGCGCGGGGCCTGGCATCAGACCAGGCATGGTGCGGCGCACAGGCGCTGTTCTCGTGCCAGAACCCCCTCGCGTCGCGAGAACAATAGCGGCGTAGTCTTGTCTTTGGTTGTTCGTTATTTTCCCATACCCCATATGGGGTTCGTGTTGTTTCTTTGGACCCCCGCACTCCCACAGCCCGCACTCACTCACACCTTTATTCATCCATACGCACGCACTCGGCTCGAGAAGGTCTCCAGCGGGAGGTTCATTCGTGAGTGAATCGCGAGGAAGGCTCGAGCGGGAGCCCCGTCCCACGTCATGTTTGTGATCCGAGCGGGTCATCGGGATACTAGACTATAGCAGGTATAGCACTTGAGCACCCCAAGGGGGCAAAGCATAAGGCGTTCTCGAGCGGGAGCTTCATCTTTGAGTGAATCGCGAGGAATTCTTTAGATGCAGTTTCCTTCCTTTGGGGTCCCCACCTCATGTTTGTAATCCCAGCGGCTCATCGGGATACTGTCGCAGGCATAGCACTTGAGCAACCCAAGGGGGCAAGTCGCGAGGATGTCTCGAGCGGGGGCCTCGTCTGTGAGTGCATCGGGAGGACGTCTCGAGCGGGAGTCTTATCCCATTGGGCCCCCGCCTCATGTTTTGATCCCAGCGGGCCACTGGGGAAGGGTAGCAATCATATCACTTGAGCACCCTACGCAAGGGCGCCCTCGAGGGCGCGAAGTTCTTCGCGCTTCTCGCTTCGCGGTTCGGCTCCGATTCCTCTTCATCCTCCTCTTCTCCCTTGGGAGGCGGCGCGAGAGCGCGAAGTTATTCGCACTTCGCGCTTCGCGCAGCGCGAAGCGCGAAGTTGGGAGCCCTTGCTACGGGCAGCAGATCGCGAGGACGTCTCGAGCAGGGGCCTCGTCTCGTCTGTCAGTGCACAGCGAGGAGCACGGGTTACGCAGGGAGGCGCACAGGTGACACGGGTCTCACGGGTTCCCCAAGCCTCACGGGTCCCACCGGCCCCACAGGTCGCACAAGTCCTCGGGGCTCAAGAGACGGGGGTCAATACAAACCCGGGTCTGGATTGACCCGGGTCTGGTCAGAAGGTCCCCGGAGTCCCTCGGGTCCCACAGGTGCCACAGGCACAGGCCCCACAGGTGCCACAGGCCCCACAGGTCCCACGGGCCCCACATGTTTTTCCGAGTCTCTTGACGCTTCGCGTGTCCCATCAGCCCATGCAGACACGATCGCCAGGTGAGTCGCCCTGATGAGGGCAGCGTAGAAACATACAGTGCGACAGCCGCCTTGGATGCCTTTCAGGTGAGCGGGGGGGGGGCGGGAACATTTCGTCAGATGGTACGTTGGACAGGTCGACTTGGCACCGTTTTGGCTCTATGAAGGTCTTCTCGGAATCCTCTTCGACAAATGTTGACCTACCACGGTTAGATCATTTGGGAGGGGCTCCTGTACCACCATGCTGCCAATGCGTTTTCGAACGGGTTTAGAAACACTTAGTATTATTGTCCCGAATGAGCGAGGAGGAAAAATGAGGATAAGTAGGAGGAGAAGAAGGAGGAGGAGGGGAGGAGTAGGAGAAGGAGGAGGAGGAGGAAGGAGGAGAAGGAGGTGGAGGAGGAGGAGGGAGGCCTGGTGAGGGCCCAGAGATGCCGAAAACTATGAAAAGTTTCCGACTCGATTTGTTCGAGACGCTGGATGTCTGGGCCTGACGTTGTCCCTCAAGCCTATTCCTCCCTCGAAGAGAAATGCGGCAATACACATAAACTGCCGACGGTCCGCGCGGCTGGCGCGCCCTAGCGCGCCAGGGGCACCGCCGGAGGCGCTGCCAGGAGGTGGAGCGCAGATCCGAGAAATCCGCGCGGACTGTCGAACATGGGTGTTTATGCAGTGTTTTCTCCCTTTGCGGTTGAAGGACAAATCTTCGCAGAAAGAACGCCCGAAATAGACGAAGCCAAATTTCCCCTCCCGCCCCCGGCCTTGACATCGGCAAGTCTTGCGTTCGAGATGCTGAGTCTCGAGTTTTTTCGGGTCCCGATTCTCAGGGATCGCTTCTTCAGCATGAAGGCCGTGTGGTGAAGGGGGTCATGCGACGTAGCTCATAAACGTTTGTTGCGCAGGTTGTTCCTGCAACGGTATCTCGGACGAGGCTAGGACGAGGATGAGTCCGTTCTAGAGCGCTCCGGAACGCTCTCAGGGCGTTCTGGAACGCTCTGAGAAGGCCGCGGCGCCCGAGACATCCTCCAGATCCGCCGGATCTCAAAGATTCTCGATGTATCCTCAACCGAATTCATCCTCGTTCTGGCTTCGGCTTCGTATCCCTCCAGCGAGGTGATCCAGGGCGTCTCTTCCCTGGCAGACGAGCCCGCCCTGGACCGGTTCTTCGCGGCGGACGCCGCCTTGTGCAGGCGACCGTTGTTTGTGCCGTTGCGCCGCCCCCCCGCTGCCCTGCAGCGGAACCCTGCCTCGAGCCGAGCCCCCGTCAGGGATCGTTGTCGTCGTCGTCGTCATCGTCGTCGTTATCCTCCTCCTCCTCCTCCATTCTTTTTCCTTATCTGACTAAATCCTCCCTGTTGCATCCCGAGGCCAGTCGAAGAAGGACGGGGCGGGCGTTTCGCTGAAGACTTACTCAACACTTATGATCCTGGAGCTTGAAGCTCGCAAGAGTTTCACGGATGCAGGGCGGCCCTTTTTCAAAATGCGGTTCTCGCCTCAGCGCCGCGCACATTCTCCTTTTATGAGTTTGCAAGAGCTTCACGGATGGAGGGCGGCCCGTTTTCGACATGGCTCTCGCCTTAGCGCCGCGCGCATTCGTTGTGAAAGTTTGCAAGAGTTTTAAGGATGGAGGGCGGCTGTTCTTCAGATTGTGGCTCCGGCTTTACCGCCATCTCATTCGTCGTAAAAGTTTGCAAGGGCTTCACAGATGGAGGGTGGTTCTTTTCTTAAAAATTTAGGATCTCTCCTTGGCGCGCCCATTGAAGTTTGTAAGAGGTTCACAGATGGAGGGCGGTTCTTCTTCAAACTGTAGCTATCGCCTTAGCGCCGCGCTCATTCGTCGTAAAAGTTTGCAAGCTTCACGGATGGACGGAGGTTCGTTTTCAGAATGCGGCCTTCGCCTCAGCGCCGCGTGTATGTTGTCCGAAGTCAGCAACAGAAATCACGGATGGAGTGCGGCTCGTTTCAGCATGTGGTTCTCGCTTTAGCGCCACATGCATTCGCCTTAAGAGTTTGCATCGGTTTCACGGTTTCTCATGGTTAACGTCCCGGAAGTGGTATTTCGGCACGATGGGCTTTCTGGCACAATACCAGATCTTCAAACGGTTGTCTTCCAACGGGGCTTTAGTGGAATTGCCTCTGTGTTGGGGCCTATGAACAGGGAACTTGGAGGGAGGGTGTACTGCAATATGGTTGATGAGTCTTGGGTTTGCACTGGTCCTCCTCCTCCTCCTCCTCCTCCTCCTCCTCCTCCTCCTCCTCCTCCTCCTCCCTCCTCCTCCTCCTCCTCCTCCTCCTCCTCCTCCTCCTCCTCCTCCTCCTCCTCCTCCTCCTCCTCCTCCTCCTCCTCCCCTCTCCGCGCCGATCTGGGGCCTCCCAGTGACAGCGCGCCGCCGGGCCCCGCTGGCCGGCCCGACCGCCCGCGCAGGCCCGCGGGGCCCCCCTGCGGCGCCACTGCCGGCGGCGCCGCCGCTCCGACGGCTCCTTTGGCCTCTCGGGCCCTGCGCCCGGGAGGGGCCCCTACTCGCAGGCCAAGAGGTTGACTCCAACACCAATTTCGGCGGTGTGCCTCCACCGAGGGAAGAAGATCCCGATCTCGGTGATGGTGGTAATATTTTGGCTTCCAAGGTGGCCGAAATATTACCACCAACACCGAAATCGAGGATCATTTTCCCCCTGTGAAGGCAACCCCCTGTGTTGGTGTTGGTCCCCATTTCCAGGCCTCCAACATACGGGACGGGAAAATGGCCACAGCCACCGCCTCTTGCGTGCGCCGCCTCCCAGCCGGCCGCAAAAGAAAGGCAGTGGTTGTGGTCATTTCATTTCCCTGGTGCCAATTGCTCACCGCAAATGACCACCACCACTGCTTTGCTCCTGCTGGCTGGAAGGCGGCAACAAAAGAACAGCAGTGGCTGTGGTCGTTTTCGCGTCCCGTAGGCCCGGGGCTCCGGGGTCGCCGGGGCCGCCGTGCCGCCGGGGCATGCCTGGGCGACGCGCCGAGCAGGAATGCCCGAGCGTGGGGCAGCGGCGGTGCGGGTGCCTCCCAGCACGCCTCGCGCCCCCGGGCCCCGTGTCGTCGGAGGCGTCACCGTCTATGGAGAGAGGGCCCCGCACTGGGGCGCCGCGTAATGGGGGGGTCATAAATGGGGGGGTGGCGAGGGTGGTTCGAAAAGGTACCCAAACGGTACCTAAACGAGCCCCCTGGGGCTCTGGAGGGGCCCGAAAGGGGCACGAAAGGGGACCGTTTCTGACCCCCCCATTTATGACCCCCCCAGTAAGCCACGCCCAATGCCCCCACTGGTCCGTCGCCCGCTGCCAGACCGCCCGGCCCGCTGGGCTGCCTCTCTGCGAGGAGGATTTCGCGGGGGTGGTCCTCGGTTCGGGCGGCGCCCAGTGCCAGTTTCCTTCGAAGACTCAGGTTGGGAAGCCTGACCCTCTAGAGGCGCCCTCTAGGAACACGCCCTCTCCCTCTCAAGAGTCGCTCTGGCCGCCCTCTGCAGCCTCGGAAAGGTTATCTCCGAACGCCGCCACACACGCTCATGCCGACACACAGCGTCTTCGGAATATCCTCACCCATGCCGCCCGCCTTTTTGTAGCGCAGTCGTGTTACATGTGGACCACGATGGGTATTCATGGCACCGTGCCATTGTTTCGGTTTGTACACCCACCACGACGTCTGTCAATTATCCATTCGGTGTCGAGAAAACGTGACACATCCCATGTGTGTTGAGACCGCATGGCGCCCAGAACGGATGTTACTCAACCGTGCGTACTTTCTCTGATTTGTTGCTTCGCCCGGGCCAACCAGGCAAATTGTGAGGCCGTCTCACGCGAAGTTGGGCTCAAACCAAGCCTAACCAAGCATGGTTTTGAGGAAGCCTCATGCGAAACGGGGCCAACACAGGCCAAGCCGGGCAAATGTTTAAGATGTTCAAGGCGAAACCAGGTCCAAACCATGCCAAATCAGAGGCCAATTCAGGCAGATTTTGAGGATGTCCCCGGCGGGGTGCGCGGCCAAACCCAGGGCCAACCAAGCAGATTTTGAGGACGTCCCAGGCAGAATCGCCCAAACCAGGCTCCATCCACTCTCCTTGATATTTTCTGAGAAGGAGCGAATCACCCCAGGGCCCCCCCCCCGCAAGAGGGAGTCCGCTTGGAATGTTATGGGTGCGCGCGTTTGGACCGCGCGCCCGCTGATTCGGCCAGGGTTGGGCGCGGAAGTCTTCATGTGTCTTTCGGGTGTTGTTTGGACCGCGGTGTGGCCTTCGGAGAACTATTTCCAAGCCTGAGAAACACCCCCTATAGAGCCCCTGGAGTCCTTCAGAGTCCTCTACGGGCCCTCAAGGCCTCTGGAGGTTCCATTGCACTCCTGCCGAATAAAGGCTCCTTTGAAAGCACCCATATCCCCCCCCCGCTCATGACCACAGCCCTCCCCTAGCTTTTCCGATGCCCTCGTGATCAAGCTCGCGCAAACTCTTTTTTTAACGGTCGAGCATTTGATTGAGAAGCCTCCTGCCGAAAAGTTGGGCCAGCGTTTCGTAACCAACTTGCTGGAAAGATGGCCCAGTCTCTTGAGCAACTTCGCCCCAGCATGAACAACCAATTCGCCCAGGCCCGCAGTCAGAAACTTCCGGGAGGCTGGCCCAGGGTTTTCAAATCATACTTTTGTGTCGATCGCACTTTCGGCCGTCCATTCTTCCAGGTCCTCTCCCTCCGCCCCGCGCTCCGCGACCAGCACGGCTCCAGTGCCTCGGCGCTTCTCAGCTGCGCCTGCGGACGGCTCCTCCCTCGAGCTCCCCTCCCTCAGACCACGCGGGGGTGGGCCCGCCGCGCGGTGCGACGTGGCGCTTCTTGCGCATGCTCAGGATGCTTCCGCGCCGCGTGCACGGCCGGATTCGCCTCGAGCCTCTGGCCAGGACGCACCCTGGGAGAGGTCTTGGGAGCAGCGGTATCGCTAGCCTCTGGCCCCCCCCCAGGCAAGGGGGCAGCGGGCGGATGCCGCGACTGCCAGCACCGTGCCTCCGAGCCCCGCCGGCGGGGCCGCCACGCGTGGTCCGAGCTTCCCCACCGCGCCGTGCGGCCATCCTCATGGGAGGTGCTCAAGGCAGCAAGGCTGCCCCATTCCCCCTCCCCCCCGCCTCCGCCAGGAGCCTGAGCGCGAGCGACGTCCCCCAGGGGACCCTCTCCAAGGACGTCTCTTTCGAGAGCTGCCAGCTCGCGCCGAAAGAAGAGGCCATCGCTCTGACCACCAGCGCGGGGTTTCGGCTGCCATTCTGAGAGGCGACGTGCCCGCTCCGACACAGTGCTCCAAGGCGCCTTCCTTCATCCCTGCCCCTCACCCTCCTTCACATATGGTAAGGGGGCTCTTGGATAGCGTGCGTGCCGCTCCGCCGCTTCCGAACCTGCCGGCCCCGCGGAGCTGAGCGACACGCCCTCCGCCCGCAGGGGATGGGCTGCCGCCGGGGCCTCCGTGGCGGCACGCCATCCAGAGGATCCCGACCGCCCTTCCCTGGAGAAGCAGAGGGCGATCGGCAGCAACTCACGGGAGCCTGGCATAGCCCCCGAAGTCCGTCCACAGCGTCGATTGGCGTCTTGGGGGTGGATGAGATGGCGCCGATCTAGCGTCGACGGAGCGTCGACTGGCGTCGCTTTAGCGCCGAGCAGCGTCGATTCGCAGAGGCCACTGGCGAAGGTGCGAGCCAGGGAGGCCTCAGGATCAGGGCGCCCTGCGGCGCGGGCGCAGGCGTGCGAGGCGGAAGGCGGTCTTCTGGCGGCCCCCTGCGGCCTCCCTCTTCCCAGTGTTGAGGGTCGTCTCCGCGGTGGCAGCCGGAGGATCAGGGATCGGGGGAGCGTGCAGTGGAGACCCATGCCAAGAGACACCCTGCCTGCCTCCAGGGTGCCCTGGGTTTCTTGGGCTTCGATGGTTCTGCGATGGAAAGCGTAACGTTCCCGCACCAACAATCAATGGACGTCCTGGTGTCTCAGGGTTGGGTTTCTTGTGGAAGGTTTCTTGCGGTCGGGCCCCCACTGTAGGAGTCGAGTTCGCTGGATCTCGGCTTGCGTCCTGAAGTTGCGGTCCAGTTTTCGTGGGATGTTTGCAGGGGGAGTTTGCGTCAAAGGTAAGGCCAGTCTTGTATTTTTCCTGACGGGCCCGCGTGGCCAACCCGAGTCCCCCGAACCCGAGTCTCAACGTCTCCCGGGAAGAACACATGAGAATGGTGCGCTCCAAGCTTCCCACGATGTCCAGGACATCCGAGAATGAGCACAGTCAGCCCGGATTAGTAGGTTGAACCTGCCAGCTCAAGGGTACCCTTGTGTCCTGTGCCTCGCGACACGTGCCTTCTTATATTCCTATGGCGATGTGGCCCTCGGAAGGGTCTTGTGTCCTCTCGCGTGTCCTGTCCAATCAAGTCCGACTGTACTTGTTCTGCACGGGCTCAAGAAACGAAGGTTGCTGGACACTCCGGGACTCCTGGATCGCACCCAGAGCCCATCGCAGAGCACGACGTCCCTCTCGGCCTGGGCCTGGGCAAGAGCCGGGAGGAACATCGAGCCCCTTCCGAATCCAAACTGTTCCTTATTTCAGCGTCTTGGCTGTAGAGCGTTCCCGCAGCGTTCTGGATCGTTCGGGGACGGCCACGGCTTCCCGGACGCGCCAGCTCCCAGAGATTCTTGAGTCATCCATGCCCGATGCTGTCCGCATGTGCTTCTCCTTCTCCTTCCCTGGCCTTGCGGAGCGGGAGGTCGCAGTAGCGTGCCAACGTGTTGTTCGTATCTCTTTTTTGGATGCGCGCCTTTGTAATTCCCATCCAGCTTCCGACATAGGACGTAGTTTTCTCACGGCGGCGTGGGAGCAATGCGCCCCCGTGCGAGGAACCTGCTGTGTATGCTCTGATTGAGAGTGTTGTTTGAATTTGACCGGGTAGCCCCTGTCTGTGGCAGGCAGGCATGCGGGTAGCCGGGACACAGCAGCAAGAAGCCTGCTCGTTTGTATCCACAGCGCTTCGCTGCACCACGCCAGGACCACGACAGGGGCAGGGTCCTCTGTGAGCCTTGTGTAAGACCACACCGTGATACAATCAGATCACGTCCGCCACTTGGCTCTCGGTGTGTCATGCGAAGTTCATACATCAACCTGATTTTCTGCGCTTCTATAGTCCTGCAACTGTGGCTCGCTGGGCCCCCTTTGGCGTACCCCGCGGTTGCAGTCGATGCGCACCGTTCAGGCGATGTTGACGTATGGTGGCGATTCTGATAGTGATTTGGACCGGGAGGAGGTTCATCATGAGATGGTAGGTGGAGGCAAGCGTGTCAGATGTCGTTTGTTGCCATGGTGACGACGACGATCATGCTGTGGATGAGCGCGAATATGATGGTGGCGATGACGACGTTGGCGATGACAATGAAGAGTACGACGAACTCGGTGTCGTTGAAGATTTCGGTGACGTTGTATCTCGGGTTGAACGCGGATCATATCATCGATCACCACCAATGTCGCAACACCAGGGAGCACGTCTGTAAGCCAGGGGAGACGGAGGAGGAGGAGGAGGAGGAAAAGTATGAAGAAATATAATAATACTATTATTAATAATATTAATAATAGTAATCATAATCAGAATAAGAAGAAAACGACAACAAAGAGGCGGAGGACGCGGTACTGCAACATTTACGGGGGGGTGCCGTGGAATCCACTTGGGCCATCTTGTTTCGTTAGGGCGCAAGGTTTGGTTCTCTTGAGCCGTGTGGGGGGCCTGCTGGGACGATTGCGGCAGGGGATCCTCTTCGTGAGCCGTCCGAGCCCGTATACACAACAGTGCTCTGGATAGTCTGGGATTCCATGGTATGCACCCCGGATACATTGCACCCCGCGGGACGTACCGCATAGATGGCCCGCAGTGTAATGCACAGACTCACCGCTTGGAGTGCACGCCAGTGTCATGTCTTATTGAGTCCGCTTTGGTTGAAAGCTGGTGTTCTTTGGGGTTCTTTTGGAGCGCTTTTGGGCTTTCTTGGGGGCCTCCACTAGTCGGTGGCCCCTCAAGGCCGAGCCCTCTCGTACCAGTTTGCGGTCGTCTCGGGGCCCTCTTAGCCCGCCTTCGCGTTCCCTGGTCTCAGTGTAAGTCACGCGACAAGCACCAAGACGCACGTGACAAGCCCAGCGCGCCAATGAACGTCCGATGGCGCCCAATAGCGCCTGGAACTCGGGAATGTGGGCCCCCTTACATGGTGTTTGCAATAGTCCACACAGCGAGTTTCAGGGGACATGATGATACTGCACGCAGTGCTTCGCGGCACGGCGGCTGATGTGTGTATATACGCATATGTATATGTATCTTCCCCAATCAGTGCTTGCACTGAAGGTGTCCTGGCGGATGTTGAAAGATTTTGCGAAAGTTCCCAGCCGATTTCGGTGGGCGGCCGTGTTCCCGGGTTCCCGGGTTCCCCGTTCCGGGTTCCAGGGTTCCCGGTTGTTCGTTCGGGGACGATTTCGGAGGGCGGCGGGGTTTCTTCGTTTCTGAGTTCCTGGGTTTTTGGTCGATCTCGTTATCGATCGGTATCACCATCGATCTCATCACCCACTTCGCTATCGATATCATAATCGATTTCACGATCGATATCATAATCGATCTCACTTCACTATCGCTCTCACGATCGACCTTAGCACCGTCTGCATTATGGAGCCCACTATCGATCTCACTATCGATTTTACAATCGATCTCAATATCCATAACACGGACTTTCAAACCATTCACTGCTTGGGGTTTTTCTCTGGTGTAACATACGTATATATACATATATATATGTGTATAAGCACATGTTAAGCTACAGTTGTGTATACATATGTACAGACTACATAGGAGGTTGCTGGGTGAGATCGAAGTTGAACGGAGAGCCCCCCACCGGTAAGTCGGTTTCGCTTTCGGGTTCGTGTCGTGCGTGCGGGCGAGGTGAAGCTTCGTGGGCGGGCGTGAGGAATGAACCTCCCTTGGATAAGGCGCGACAAGGACAGAAGTCCGCCCCACCCCCGGCCGAGTGGCGGGCGGTGGCCGCCAGGTGTCCCGCCGTGGTGTGTCCCGATTGGTGTCCCGATTGGTGTCCCGATTGGTGTCCGTCCCAGTGGTGTCCCGGTTTGTGTTTCGATTGGTGTCCCGCTGGTGTCCTGGTGGTGTTCTTGTGGTGTCCCTGTGGTGTCCCGATTTTGCCCCGATGGTGTCCCGATGGTGTCCCGTTGATGTGATGGTGCCCCGATGGTGCTCCGATCGTGTCCAGATGGCTTCCAGGACCGCTAGGGAGATCGATCGTGAGATGTGTGTGTGTGTGCGGTCGAAGTGAACCGGAAATTGTGACTATCACCAGCACCGTGGTCGTCATCATCCCATCATCGTCGATAAAGAAAACAGCAGCGCCATCGCCAACATCATCATTACCTCAGCAGTATGGCTCAAGCACATCGCAGGAGTTTTCGGCTGACCACACCCTTCGCGCTTTTCCGCCGATGGCGGACCGCGGTGCCGCGTGCCTGCGCCAGGCTGTGCCACCGCCGCAGGAGGCTCGCCATGGCCTTTCGCCGCCAGGCTCTGCCAGCGCCGCTGGGGGGTACGGGGGGTCGCAGCAGCAGGCCAAGCGTTTCGACTGCAGTAAGACATCCAAAGCGAGTTTCGTGAAGCCCGTTCTGGAACGCACTATGACGGGCAAGCAGTTCTACAGTCGGACCGAGGTATAAGATCCTTCGCGTTTGTTGGATGTTCTTGTGCACCCTGGGGAGGGTGCCCTTGGATGTTCTTTGCGTTTTGGCCGGCGGAGGGTCTCATGTTCTTGAGGGGTGCTCTTCTGTCTTAGGTTAGACTGTGCGAGGCTTTGCGCCTGACGCGCTTGGTGAACCGCGTGACTTGGCAGATGTCCGAAGCTGCCCAGAAGAACATCGGGAACCATGTCATGGACCAGGATGGTCTGTTCTACGTGGGCCGGTTCCTGGACACCCCCTTGGAACCCGAGTCTACCTGCATCCAGCGCGTAAAACCGATGGGGAACCGGGTCTGCACCAACGCGGTTTGCTTCAAGCTCCTGCCGCGGGGCCTGGAGACCGATGCTTGGCGCATCCTGCTGCGCGTCGCTCGTGGCAGGGGTCTTCTGCCAGACCGGGCGCGCGAGTGCTGCGGGCGCGTGCTGGCCAGTGTGGGGTCGGAGGCGCCTGCAGACCTGCTGCCTCCATCAGACGGCCCCCAGGGCAGTCCCCCTGAGTGTCGCGCAGGGGCGCCAGCTCCCGCTGCGGCGACAGCGGGGCCTGCGGCGACGCCACCGGCGGGTCTTCCGGCGCAGGCTCACTTCGACGCGGCGGTCTCTCCTCGCGCAAGAGGCCTCGGGGCCAGGGTCTGCCAGCCAGGTGCCAGTGCCGGGCGCAGGTGCCCGCAGCCTTCGTGGCGGCGCCTGAGCAGCCGACGGAGGTCGACGCTCGGGCATCTCTCGAGTCGCCAGCTCAACCGGCTTTTGGGCCAGGCTTTGCCTTCCCAGAGGAGGCAACGGCCGAAGTGAAGGACGAGGCCCCTGCGCAGGAGGACTCCGCCGCGGACTGCAGCGGCACAGGGGGCTCGGGGGTGGACAGACCTCCTGCCCTGACGCGTCGATTAAGGAATTGGCCGTTTTCGGTTCGCGAGAGGGCGTCGCGGCCGTCATTTTTGCGGGTCCAGGTCCGTCGGTTTCGGATCCAGGCCGTTTCCATTAAGGGGGGGCTTGCTAAAGGGAGGTTTGTCCACCGCCGAGGGGCGCTCGCCTCTGCGGTGATGCCGAAGACGCGCGCGCGCGCAGAGTTGGGCGCGAGCTGCGCCGAGGACGCGCAGGCGCAGAGCGAGCGGGGGGCAGGGGCGGCCTCGGTTCGGGTTGGGCTCAGCGACGCGCGGGGCGACGCGCCCCTGGTTCTCCCCCCTTCCGACCGCTCGTTCGACAGGTGGTCGTATATGTGCATTCTCGTTCCGATATTTTTACAATCGGGGGCCCAGGAAACCTTCCCCCCATAAACGGGACCCCCCGGGTCCGGGGCTCCCGGGCCCCCCTGGGCGCCCCCGCAGAATGTTTCCAGGGCTTCTGGGGGCTCCTGGAAGCCCCGGCTGGGTCCAGGCAGAAAGCCCAGCTCGGTCAGGAGGGCGGTCGAACGGCCCCCCCAAAATGGTTTTCGAAATGCAGAAACGCACCGATTCCCAACAATTTGTTGTATGATTTTTGGGATGCTCTGTTCTTGGGTTTTCCTGGCGTCCGAAACCGCTCATGGGGTCCGACGCGCGACGATCGCGCCAAAGCTTTCCGAAAAGGGCTTCCAGGCCGCTGGGGAAACCCCCCAAACGGCCTACTATATCTCATGGGCAGAATTGCCCTAACCAGGGTTGGCCGGAGGGGGTTGGCGAGGAGGGTTGGCCGGGTTTTTTGGGGGTTGGCCGGGAGGGTTGGCCGGTGCCGTTGTTGCAGAGCAAGTTTGCGCCGTCGTAGAGTCGACGTACAGCTTCTCCACTGCACGAGTACTGTCAAACCTCTGTCCCGATGTCCCTCCTCGTCCTCGTCGTTGTCATCCTCCTTCAGTTCCCCTCTCTTCTGGGCCTTCTTCTCCCTTCGCGATTCCTTAATCAGGCATGCCAGGAGGGTCCCTACTGTCATCTCGTACCTCCCTAGCTACAAGTGCCCAGGGTCGACGACGATCGACGACGACGACGCTCGACGACGGCAGACGACGGTCGACGACGACGAACGTCGACGATCGACCAGCGACGCTCGACGACGACGCTCGACGACGAGCGAACGACGAAGCTCGACGACCAGCGAACTACGATGACGACGGCGGCGACGACGGGTGACGACGGTGACGGCGGAAGCCTCGGCGCCCGCGGGGCCCTCGGAGCTCCGCGCTGACGGCGGCGACGACGATGGCGACGACGGCGGCGACGACGGCGACGGCGAAGCCTGGTTTTGCCGGCTCGCTGCCGGAGCTCATCGCATTGCCAGCTGTGCCGTCGGGAAGCTGACTCCGAGCGTGCCCGCACGCTCTCCGGGCACATCGCGCGGTCATTATTGCCAGCGAGATGCTCATTTGGAGCGTGCCAGCTCGCTCCCGGCAGGTGCTTGTTTATCATCGTTTTTTGCGTCTTACTCCTTAGGTCCCTCCTCCGTGCGCCTGTGCGGAAGAGGCGGCGCACGTTTCGGGTTCTCTCGCACGTGCGTTGCGCGGCTGGTGCGCAAATGGCGACGGGGAGGCGGAGGAAGAGGAGGAGGAGGAGGCGGAGGAGGAGGTGGAGGAGGAGGTGGATGAATAGGAGGAGGAAGAAGATGAGGAGAAAAAGGAACGGGAGCAGGAAGGGGAGGGGAGGGGAGAGGAAGGGAGGACCGCGCGGGAGGCGCGGAGGCGCAGCTCCTCGAGCTTCACGGGGGTCCTGCGCCGCCCCGCGCAGCTTAGCAGCAGAATCTCCCAAACTGTGTTTGCTTTGCCGTCTCCAGGGTTGGAGCGCTGGGCAGTTTCCACGCGCAGTAGGCTCCAGATATTGGCGTGCACGCGCATGGGATGCCAAGCTCATTGGGGTGCCGCTCACAGGACTCCACGCATAAGGCCCTACGCATCGGAATGCACGCGCGTAGGACACAGACACAGGCACACTCGTACTTCTACAAACCCAAAGGTTAGGGGTTTCACGCATTGCATGTTACATAATATTTTATCGTAGCTATTTCGGCCTCAAGCTCGCCAGCTCGCAGCAGCAGCGCGGGGCCTGACCTCCACTCAGGGGCCGAGAATCATCTACCGTCCATTGGTTCCCTCCCCTTTACCTCCCCCGTCCCCCTTTTCCACTCCGCCCTGGCCCGCGCCCTCGTCTTCTCTGCCCCCCCCGCCCAGGAACGGCGGGGAGGCGGAAGGAACTGGTGGTGTTAGATGTTTTTGGGCCCCGCATCGGGAATCATGTCCGGTCCCGGTCTAGTCAAGGTTTTCCTGGACCAGTGCGAGCTGCCGTACGCGCAAGAATTCCGTGATAATGGGGTTGACGATCTTGACACGATGTTGGATCTTACTGAGAAAGACCATCCACGGCGCAGTGGATGAATAACCGTCCAGAATGCACCGTTGCAGCCTGGCTGATGTCAGGGGTCGCCACACAGGCGCACTACGACAAAGCGGGCCTCGGCGACCTCGTGGCGCGCGCCAGGGGCGCCATGGGCGCTCCCGAGTGCCGAGAGGCGACCAAGGGGTACGCGCGCGGCGTCGGTCTGTGGAGGACGGAGACCGCTCTCTTCAACGAACAGGTGCACGACGCCTTAGACCGCGCGGCAGGCGGCGGAGGGCCCGGAGCGCCTGCCGAGGCGGCCGCGCTGCAGGCCGCGCCGTGGCTGCAGGAGGCCGCGCCTTTTGCGGGGAAGCGGTGGACTGACAACGACAACAAACGCAAGGCGGCAGCAGCGGCGCAAGAGCCTTCGGTGGCCGACGACAAGCGGGCTGTCGTGAACAAGGCGATCGCGGACGCTGCGGCGAAGATCAAGGCCGAACGAATGGAGAAAGAGCGGAAGGTAGTGGAGCACCTCAAGGCGCAGTTCGGCGGCAAGCAGAAGGCGCCCGCAAAGGCCGTGCGAGACAGGTAGGCCAAGGCCTGCAAGTGCGCCAAGACGATGGCGCCTGGGTGGCACAAGGACACGTGCAGCCCGCGCCCGGCGAGGCTCCGGGAGCAGCTGCAGAGGAGCGCCGACCAGAGGGCGAAGGTGGCCGCGCAGCTACAGAAGTGCGCGTCCCTCTCGCCGGCCCAGCGCGCAGAGGCCCTCGACCACCTGTTCGGGCCGCCACGGCCCGCGGCGACGGCGAGCAGTTCGTCGGGTTCAGCAGGCGCTTCGTCTTCTCGGAAAGGCGCTTGGGCGCCACATCGCGAGAATCTCATTGGGGTTGGCCGGGGGGTTGGTGAAGGGGTTGGTTAGGGGTTGGTTAGGGGTTTGCCGGGCCCAACTTCCACTCCATGTCGTGCCCATCTCTCGCCCCCCCCGCCGGCGAGCATTTGGGCCAGATTGGCGAGTGGTCCCGCCCGACGAGTGTCGGGGCCGCCGCCGAGCTTCCCACCTGTGCTTTGTATAGTTAGGCGAGCGGGCGTTGACGGTGCCGACAAAGAAAAACCCCCCCCCCCCCATCCCCCGAGGGCCATAGGAGCGACAGGATAGAGGGGCGGCCGCGTGCTGGAGAGGATAGAGGGGCGGCCGCCGTCGTCGTCGTCGTCGTCGTCGTCGTCGTCGTCGTCGTCGTCGTCGTCGTCGTCGTCGTCGTCGTCGTTGTCGTCGTCGTCGTCGTCGTAGCGTCGCCCGCGGCGGCGTCGTTGCGACTTCCAGCAATCGCCAGCGCGAGGGGCAGTAGGAAGAGGAGCAGCGGCAGCAGCAGCAGGGGGGCGGGGGAGGAGGAGGAGCAGCAGCGGCAGCAGGGGCGCAGTAGGAGGAGCCAGGGGAGGAGCCGGAGGAGGAGGAGGAGGAGGAGGAGCTGGAGGAGCAAGAGGAACAGGAGGAGGAGGAGGAGGAGGAGGAGGAGGAGGGGGAGGAGGAGGAGGGGGGGAGGCCTGCTCCTCTGGCGCCGCCGTGCCGACGCGGAGGATTGAGGTTCTGGGCGCTCTGGGCATTCGGATTTTTCTTATCCTCCTCCCTGAGCCCCTACTCCAATCGAGGGCGGAGGTTTTAGACGTTTAGGGTGTTTTTGACCTCTCGCTTCTCCTCTCTCTTCTTCTCCTTTCTCATTCCTTCCGTCGATCGAGGATTGAGGTTCCGTGGCTATCCAGCTGCCTGCGGCAAACCCCGCCACCGTGTCTCTGCCGCAGCGCAGCAGGACATATGTTGAGTGTAGGCGCAATTCCGACGAGATGTCTGAATTGGGACGGGTCGTGAACTCGACCCCTCCCTCGTCCGCGCGGCACGGGGGAGGGGGAGGGAGGAGGAGGAAGAGGAGGATGAGGGGGAGACGGAAAAGGCCTCCTGGGAGCCTCCTGAGGGCTTCTTGCGAGCCCCTTGGGGGCCTCCTGGGGCCTGTTGGGGGCCTTTTGGAGCCTCCTGGGCCGTCTGAGGGGGGTTCTTGGCCCGTCTGACTCCTTCGGAGGCCGTCTTCGGGCCGTCTTGGCATCCTCTGGGGGCGCTTTAGGGCCGTCTTGGGGTACTCTTGGGAGCCTCTTGGGGGATCTTGGTGTCCTGTTGGGCCGACTTGGGGCGCTCTTGGGAGTGCCATGGGCTGTCTTTGAGCTATCTTGGAGGGCTCTTGGGCCGTCATGGGGGGTCGGAAACCGACGTCACGGTTTGTTCAATTCCAGCGTTCCCCTCCCCCCTCGTCCTCCCTCTCTCCTCCTCGTCGTCGTCTTTGTCGTCGTCGTCTTCGTCGTCGTGTGCCTGAACAGTTCATTATTTCAATTAGCTTGCCTACAGGTTTCATTGCCTGCCCAACGGCTCCCTCACTACAGGTTCCCTGGGCCCGTGTCCCTCTCGTGTCTTTCAAGTGCCCCCCTCATGATCTTCGCGAGCGTGTCGTCTCGCTTCCAGTGCACTTCGCGCTGCCGCCGTTCCTGCCGGGACGCGCGCTCCAAGCGTGCCAGCTCGCAGTCACCGCCCATCGCATCGCCAGCGTTGTCGGCAAGAAGCTCCTCCGGAGCGTGCCGGCTCGCTTCTGATTCTTT